CGCCCCGGCGCCCGCCGTCACCGGCGACGAGCCCATCTCCGACAGCGAGATCGAGCAGTACCTGCGGGGCCGCGAGGAGGCACGCGCCTTCGGCAAGGCCAAGGCCTGGCTCTGAGCGCCTTGTCCCGTCACCCGTCCCGGGCGGTGACGGTGTTTGCAGCGGGGTCGCGTTGTCACTGCCTGTCTGGCTGTCACCGCCACCGTGGTGCCTTGGCCAGGAGCTCGAGCTGCTCCGGGCAGTGATCTGCAGGGCTGCCTTGCACGGCAACTGCTTCCGCAGGAGGGAAGGGGGGATTTGGGACCACGGGCGAGGGGACATCACAATCCGTCACTGTTTGAGAAGGAATCAGCAGCCCTAAGCGCTCTCCTCCTTGGACTGGATAGAGCAGCATTAACTTCTCATTGCAGCCCCGCTGGCTGCTCCTGTGCAACGTGTAACTCAATAAAACCCTGACGGGACCTTGTCTCTTGTCTTGAAGTGGCCAAGCCCAAGGAAGCGCCGTAGATCGTGGCACATTTGCAAATCTTTAATATATTAAACAAACCATATCTTGCTCGAAACATTCTAGTCATATAAAAATGCAAAAAGAAAGACCCCTTCCAAACATTTCTTTGGCATTATCTCCCCCTCCCGCCCCCACGTATATTGCAAGAAGCTCTCTGCTGATATGTCGTTCGCTTGTAATGTAAACAGAGTGTAATTAATGATACAAAGCTTTTTATATAATAATACCGTCACAGTGCAGCAAGCGCGTCTAGCGAGGCCGCGGTGTCGGTGACCACCCGCCTGCGCAGCGCGGGGCCCGGGGAGGCCTCCGGCGGGAGCGCGGCGGCCGGGAGGCGCTTTGGGCTCCGGCCGCTCCCGGGATGTGTTGGGCTGCCCGGCGCCACCTCCGGCCGCTCTCGCTCCCCATGGAGCCGCGAGGAGCCCGTGGGCGGTTGGGACGTGGGGAGCAGCGGGGGCTGCCCTCGCCTGGTGGTCCCCCAGGAGCCGCGTGCTGGCGGGGAAAGGGGCCTCGTGCTTCCAAGGGGGAAAAATAAGTGCTCATCCCAGGGTCTGCCCCTTGGAAGCGGCGCCGGAGCAGTGGAGGCCTCTGGCAAGTGCGAGGCCAAGTGGATCCTGGCCGTGCTGAGGTGGAGGACTCGCTTCGGGCCGTGCTGGAGCTCCTGGGTCCATTGTGGGGATTCGGCTCCGCTTGCCGGGCAGCACCCTTGAGCTCTTGGTTTCTTTGGAGGGAATTCAGCTCTGCTCGGGCCGGACCCTCGAGCTCCTGGGTCCTTCAGGGGGATTCAGCTCCACTTGGGCAGGATCGTTGAGCTCCTGGGTCGTTCAGGGCATTCAGCTCCGCTCAGGCAGGACCCGGAGCCGTCGCGGCCTCCCTGCTCACGTAGCTGCTGCCCGTGGGGCTGCGCGGAGCGGCTCCGTGCAGGGATTTTAGCGTCTGGCTGGAGGGCAGCGCCGACGGTGGCAGCGGGGACATCTCTTGCCTTGTGCTCGCTTTAGCTATGGCTTTTCCTTTGGCATCTCCGTAACCCACAGGGCTCCATCCTGCTCGGAGAGAAAGGCTCCTGTTCAAGAGCATCCCAAACCGAGGGGCTTCATTCCGGCTCTTTCCAAGAAGCCGACTGGGGTCAGGGCCGACCGAGCGGCCGCGCTCCGGCCGCTACGTTGAGGGCGCCGCTTTGCGGTCTCCTCTGCTCCGCCGGGAATGTTGCCGTCGGAACAAGCTCTTGCCCAGCCTCCCAGGGCACCCCGGAGAGCGCGGACCTGCTCCCCGGAGACACTCGCAGCAGTCACCCGTCTGTCTATACATATATACATACAATAATATAGAGATTTGAAAAATAGACATTTGTTTCCTCTGTATATAATAAAAATAGCATTTAGGGTCAGTCTGAAGTGACATGCAGGAGTGATTAAAGTTGCAGTTCGGGCTGCTGAAGTGCGAGGGTTGCCCTCGCCGGCGCAGCGCCGCGCGGGACGGTGCCGTGGGCAGCGCCGGGCTCCTTCCGTCCCGCTCGGCTCGGGACGCTCCCATCTAGTGCACTTAGCAATTCCCCGAGGGCCTTGGCTCCGCCGGGACGGCGCCGGAGCTCCTTTCCCGTCTCTCACACGGTGGTTTCGCTCTTCCACAGGCCGGTCTTCATAGCGGCAGTGCCGTCGGCGCCGGCGAGGTCCACGTGGAAGCCGCTGCCCGCGAGGGCGCCGTTGTGGGCGGCCGCGTTGAGCGGGTACGAGCGCCGCTTGGCCTCCTTCTCCATGGCGCTGGCGTGCCGCAGGTTATCCCGGCTGGCGCTCCGGCGGCGCGTACGGCCACCATCGGCCGCCTGCCGCCCGCCCTCGCTGCCCTCCGAGGCGCTGGGCGCCGCGTCGCCCGCGCGCCCGGTGCCCGGGGGGCTGTTGCGGCCGCTGCCGTAGCTCTCCGAGTGGCTGTTGTGGAGGCTGCCGCTCTCGCTGGACGGCTGCTCCGAGGCCGGGCCCCGCAGCGCGCGCAGGCGGTGCGGCCGCCCCTCGCGGGGCTGCTTCGCGCGGCACTTGTG